TTCCCTTGCATCGGTTCCTTCCTTTGCTTGCCTGCCTGCGCAAGCGTCGCCCAGCGCGCTGCTCCCTGGGAGGTGTCGTAAGGCGGACGAAATGGCCGTGCTTGCCCCAACACAGCCTTTCACCGTGGGCGCCCGGCCCGACGGGCAGCGCGACGCCACTCCGGACACGAGCTCCTTCCCAAGTTCTGTTGGCCTCGGCAACAACAGAATGATGATTTCCATCCTCTGGGTGCCCGAGCTCCTGCCTGTCATGGGACAAGCAACCCCTCATCGCTGGCAGAGACACCACAAGAAGCTGTTTCCTAGGGAAACACAGGCGTCCTTCTGTGGGGGATCACCCCAAAAAGAGCTGCCCTGAGGAATCAACTCCTCAGTCCTCCAAGCAGGTACAAAACGGTCTTTTTTAAGATCATCTTTTTGAAGAGGAAGGAAATAGCAGGAGCAGAAGTGGTGGGGGTGACCATGGCATTGAGGACACAAAACAGCCTCAAACACCTTTATGTGAGGATTTCTTCACTTGCTGGGTGCTCTTCTTTGAAATTGTAACATTTAAGTGCTTTTCTTTCAGGCATGTGAAGCGTAAGGGGAAAGAATGAGACCAGAAGTGAATATTATCATTTAATACGCAAAGACAGTTTCAATAGTTACCTTAATGTGCACTAATTAGGTGTGGGAATACGCAACACATCCCAAGGGCTGGTTATAGCCTCCCTCCCTGCTGCACTCAGGCACGTTTCACTACCGTGATCAAATATTTTAAAATGTCCAAAGATTTATCACCTGTAGAGCGCAAAAGAAAATTGTGATTTGGCCTCTTTGGCAGTCACAGCTAACAGCCATCTTCCTAAACCAGAGGAGGACACAGTCCAGTTTCATTTACCATCTGAAGCCAGCCAGAAGCCGTCAACGCTGATCTGGGAATCCCTACAGCTGCCAGGACAGGAGCTTGGACCCAGACAAAAACTCTCTCGCTGGGTGCTGGAGCTCCCAGTACTTGGTTCGTCTCACAGATTCCCATGAAACCTTTTCCAGTCTCTGGTTGTCGTCTCTGGCCTTTCCTCCAGCCAGTCCTTGAAGGACTTAAGCGTAGGAACGACTGGGCATACACCATCACCTCGAAGGCAGCTTGCGCGTGGAACAGGGTGAGAATGAGGTTCTTTACACCAACTTTGCAACCCCCTGCCCTTGGGGCTTTCTCTAGGGTGCCAAAGAGCAGCTGGGGCGAGCATGAGCTAAGCAGAGTTATCTTCCACCTACGGCCCTTTTCTTCCATCTTGAGTGTTGCCTGCTTAGACACGGAGCCAGTTCTCCTCCTGCCTCACCAGGGTGCACATTCTTGTCTTCATAGGGTTACAGCGTGCTGTTTGCAGGGAGAAGGTAGGTGAGGACTCCGCACCCGTGTGTGTGTTTGTGAAGACTTTTCTCTCCTTTTCTGCTCCTGCCCCGTCACTTCTTTGCTCTGCCCGTAGCGCAAGTACCATCTCCAATCTAACAGATCACCACGGTACCACCCAGAGATTGATCCACAGCTGGTACTACCTTGCCTGGCCTTCAGTAGGAACTGTGGTTCCTTCTGTCTTCTGGATCTTACACACCTTGCCCTTTGAATCGTGTGCACCCCAACCACGGCACCTCAACGCGGGAGCGGCTGCGTCTGATCGCTTATTCCTTTGTGCGTGAGCTCGGGTGCTTCATTTTCAAAGCCCCTGAGCTCCGTTCTGCATTCAGAGTCTTTGGAGTCCAAATCTGGCTCACAGTACCTGACTGCAGGTGCTCAAAAACAAGTGAAAAATGTATGGCTAGCCCCAAACCCGGTCCCCGCTGAGCTCACTGTGCCTGTCCCTTTTGCACCCAGGTACTGTTAGGACCTACCTGCTTCCCTGCAGGCTAATAAGGCTTCATGCTGAAACGCACGGGCCCCGTCTAAAAACAAAAAAATAAAAGGAACAAATTTTCCTATTTTAGGCAATAAAAGCAAGGTTATGGGATTTTCCTTGGATGTAACAAATGTAGGCGGAATGCAGCAAGAACAAATCGCATCCCGGCCCCTTTTCTCCCCTCACTTTCTCTGCCTGTTGAGCAGAGCATCCTCAGCGCCCGCAGAGACTGGTGAAAGCTTGCCGTGCTGGTGGGACCAGTCATGCGCTACGCTAGCCCAGGCTGCAGGGCAAGAGCCCAAGGGTCCACCCAGCCCCTCGGGCAAGTCTGGTGTCCTGCGATGTGTGGGAGAGCAAGTCTGCGTCTCACCAGGCCTGAGCTAGCAGAGGACACCCCACCTCTGAGCCACGGAGGTCTGCACAGACCACGGGAACGTCGACTTCTGCCTAAAGCAGTTTCTCCCTCTCTCCTTACCGAGTCAAGGTCGAGTTCATCAAGCAGTTTTTCTAAAAACACCAATAAAAGCCGGTAGTCCATGCAAATTCTTGAAAGAGTCCATGAAAAGACGTCACTGGAAAAAAACCAAATGCATGTTCCAGGCTGTTCCCGGATGGTTTTACCGTGCCTTGTTCAACAAGTACACAGCAAGCGAAGAACCAGAGGCCAGAAAACTTGTGCTGTGAGTGAATTGAGCTGGGGAGAACATCTGCCTCCAATTTTTTGGTTAAACAAAACCGTGGCTTTTAATTTAATAAAAACCTTCTGCCTACAACCACAGATAAAATCATTCAAGCTTGGCTGAGTTTAAAACCGGAACCTGGCACCTCTTCAGCAGCACCTTAGAGAGCTCAGGGTAGAAAAACCTTCCCGTGCTGACACACGCAGCTGCTGGGACTCAACCGCCGAGAGCGGGAACGAAGCATCGCGGGAGGGATGAAATGCAGAGCCACTTCCCTGGCCAGGCTGCCACTAGCACCCAGTACAAACCCCGCAGAGAGACCGGGACCCCCTCGGGGAGCGTGGAGTGCACGAGTGTGTGTGGCAATCGGGAAAACCTCACTTTCCACGGCCTTCACGTCACAGCCGAGCCGCAGCTGATCGCTGCCCAAAGAGGCGGCCTCACGCCTGCTCCCCCCACCAAATACTTTTCTGACTCCTCTGAGAATTAGCAGAGTTTGCTAAACCAGCAGGAAACTAACCCAGCCCCACACGAGCTGAAGAAATAAGTATATTTTTTTTATCCGTTCGGCAAGCTGTGGAAGACAGCCAGCTTAGCTGTCACGTCACGTCCCGTTTCTTATATGTGTTTTTAACCCCTGTCGCACCAGGTCCCTGCTTAGCTTACGGGCTTACGGAGGGATGCGCTGCAT